GAGGGAGGGTGGCCCAGCCGATATCTTGATTTTGGACTTCCGGCGGACTTCCGGCCTCCAGCGCTGTGAGAGAATAACCCGCGAGCGTGTGGCGCTTTGTTGTGGCAGGCACAGGAAGCTAACACGGTGCTCTGTAGTTCTACGTGACCGGCTTCCTCCAGAGCTACGGGGACCTTCCCTATAAGTTGATGTTCATCAGTTCCATTGCACAAAGCTGTAGTTGTCTAACAACAGTACTCAAATCCCATACATCCTCAGGGGACCTCGAGGGTGCTAGGCTCTTTAAGGTGCCAGTTAGGGAGGACAGAATCCAGAAACAGTGAGTTCATGGTTTTTTGTTTTTTTTTTGAGACAGAGTTTCACTCTTGTTGCCCAGGCTGGACTGCAATGGTGAGATCTTGGCTCACTGCAACCTCCACCTCCTGGGTTCAAGTGATTCTCCTGCCTCAGCCCCCTGAGTAGCTGTGGTTACAGGCACGCCTCACCACTCCAGGCTAATTTTGTATTTTTAGTAGAGATGGGATTTCTCCATGTTGGCCAGAATGGCTTCCAACTCCTGACCTCAGGTGATCCGCCTGCCTCGGCCTCCCAAAGTGCTGGGATAACAGGCGTGAGCCACGGTGCCCAGCCAACAGTGAGTTTTTAACACAGAACCCAGAACTTCTCTCCCATTCTGTACTCTCCTGTAACTGTATAAACAAAAATTAATATGCAAAACATTTGTGGCTGGGCACGGTAGCTCACGCCTGTAACCCCAGCACTTTGGGAGGCCGAGGCGGGTGGATCATGAGGTCAGGAGTTCAAGACCAGCCTGGCCAAGATGGGAAAACCCTGTCTCTACTAAAAATACAAAAAATTAGCCAGGCGTGGTGGCAGGCTCCTGTAATCCCAGTTACTCCAGGGGCTGGGGCAGGAGAATTGCTTGAACTCGGAGGGCGGAGGTTGAAGTGAGCCGAGATTGCGCCACTGCAATCCAGACTGGGTGACAGAGTGAGACTCCGTCACACACAAAAAATCAAAAAACGAAACAAAACAAACGAACAAACGTTTACATCTGAAAGAAATCTGGAGACTTTTGTGTTATTTTTATTGATATTTCTCTCAGGTTCATCAACTTGCCAGAAAATCTGCAGATATTCTCACTGGAGAAGCTGCAGCGAGTGTGACTATTTCAGCCGGGAATGGGAGGAAGGAAAATCAGTCCTGGGGACATTCTTCGCCCCAGGGGACCGATGATGCTCCATTTAATAGCACTTGCAGATCAAGTCCTGTTTCTGCTTCGAACAGAATGTTCGGGCACCTGAGACATAGAACAAAGTGCTGAACTCTGTTCTTCCCATCATTAACCTTAACGGCATTCAGACAATTCCCATCCATACACAAGAGTCCTACAGGGTTTTGAGACCCAAAAGGTTATTTTACTATTGTCTTACCAAATGTATAGGGGTCTTGTCTTCAGCATTAGGTAGCAGCTATGTGAATCTTCCAGGGGTAAAGGTCCTCTGCTTCCTCACGGGGATTCTTCCACAGTCCCCTCCTGGATGCCACAAACACAGCATATCCCTCTCCCCCCAATCCCTGCACCTTGCAGGCAACATTTAATGCATTTTTTTTTCCTTTTTTTTCGAGACAGAGTCTCACCCAGGCTGGAGTGCAGTGGCGCGATCTCGGTTCACTGCAACTTCCGCCTCCTGGGTACAAGCGATTCTTCTGCCTCAGCCTCTTGAGTAGCTGGGATTAACAGGCACGCGCCACCACACCTGGCTAATTGGTGAACGGGGTTTCACCATATTGGCCAGGCTGGTCTCCAACACCATATTACCACAGGCTGGAGTGCAGTGGCACGATCTCAGCTCACTGCAACCTCTGCCTCCCAGGTTCAAGTGATTCTCCCACCTCAGCCTCCTGAGTAGCTGGGACTACAGGCACACGCCACCACGCCCAGCTAATTTTTGTATTTTTAGTAGAGAAAGGGTTTCACCTTGTTGTCCAGGCTGGTCTCTAACTCCTGGACTCAAGTGATCCACCTACCTCGGCCTCCCAACGTGCTGGGATTACCAAAATTAGCTAGGGGTGATTGGGGGCGCCTGTAATCCCAGCTACTCAGGAGGCTGAGGCACAAGAATCACTTGAACCTGGGAGGCAGAGGTTATAGTGAGCTGAGATTGCGCCACTGCACTCCAGGCTGGGCGACAGAGACTCTGTCTTAAAGAAACAAACACAAAAACATTGCGTAGTGACTACTACATACTAAGTGTTATGTAAGTACCAGCTCTTAGCAGCATCATATTGTTTTGTTATGTGACTTTCAGAAAACCATGGCCCAAACTTACCCCGCTAGAAGCTCTGGGCCCATTTCTGTCTGAGCCAGGCATACTTATGTCCATTTTGTAGATGAAGAAACTGAGATTCAGGGAAAGGAAATCTCACAGCCAGAAAGTAGAGGTGGGAGTCCAAAGACTTTGCTCTGAACCCCCGACCCTAACTTGTGGGAGCCTCCTCTCTTAAGAAAGAGTGTCCTTTTGTCCTCTCTCTCTTTTTTTTTTTGGAGATAGAGTAGAGTCTTGCTCTGTTGCCCAGGCTGGAGTGCAGTGGCACAATCTTGGCTCACTGCAACCTCCGCCTCCCGGGTTCAAGTGATTCTCCTGCCTCAGCTTCCCAAGTAGCTGGGATTACAGGCACCTGCCACCACGCCTGGCTAATTTTTGTATTTTTAGTAGAGATGGGGTTTCACCATGTTGGCCAGGCTGCTCTAGAAATCCTGGGCTCAAGTGATCCTCCTGCCTTGGCCTCCCGTGAGCCACCGTGCCTGGCCAGCAAGATCACTTCCTGGCATAGGATAACAACAAGCATTCAGAGAAAGCATGCTTCTCCAAAAAGCTCCAAAGTTGCTTAATAAGCCGTCATGCTTTATCCAAAATTCTAGTCTAAACTTTAATTCTTCTTGAAGTTTTCACACTCTTCCTCACACATGGGTATCTGCCTCCTCGTATGAAGTATTATTTGTGTGGAAGATTCCAAGAAGGCTGGGACTTCATGGATGCGACTCATAGAATTAACATCAGCAATGCGGGAACTTCGTTGTCTCAAATAACCAAGCCAAGGGAAAGGTGGAGGTAGAATTCCAGATAACTGGATTCAGAAGCATCCGCTTCATTCTCTCCTACTGCATGTGGGCTTTTGGTTCATAGCAGGAAACAAGGCTTAAGCATCATCCTTTGATCTCTTGAAACTTCAGGTAACAGAAAAGTCTTCCCTTACCTCCGTCATCAGTTAGAAGAGTCATGACTCTAGCTGGGTCATGAGTCCATACCCAGGGGGACAGGTTCCTATGCTATGTCTTGAGTCAACTTCCAGTTCTGTGGTCTTAGCGTCTGTAAGTCATTGCTGAAGTTGAGCATGCTGGAGCTGGGGGACTGGGGCAGGTTTTATAAGCATAGGGTAATGAAGTGTGATCTGATTGGATCTTGCAGTGAGCTGATGCCAGGAGGCATGATTTGATTGGATCTTGCAAGGAGGTGATGCCAGGAGGCATGATCTGATTGGATCCTGCGATGGGGTGATAACAGGGCTTGATCTGATTGGATCCTGGATCTTGCCTTTGTAGCCTCCAATGTTTAATTCAGTCCCCACTCCTCAGTCTGCTCCTCGGTCTTAGTACTTAGGCTCCCCCTGAGGTTACATAGTTGGTTCATCTGGGGATGCCCAGGTTATGGGACTTTCAACCCGCAGGCCCATGGCAACTGGGAAACAACTCACAACTTGGTTACATAAAAGTTGAGCCAGTCTGGTGTAGTTACTTTTCATTTTGAAAATGAATCTAGCTCTCACAAATCACATCCGCACTTAAAAAAATATGTCGCTGGGCGTGTTGGCTCACGCCTGTAATCCCAGCACTTTGGGAGGCTGAGGCAGGAGAATCTCTTGAGCCCATGAATTTGAGACCAGCCTGGGCAACATAGTGACTTCATCTCTACATAAAACATTAAAACATTAGCTGGGTGTGGTGGTGCATGTCTGTCATTCCAGCTACCAGGGAGGCTGAGGTGGGAGAATTGCTTGAGCCTGGGAGGCGAAGGTTGCAGTGAACCGTGATCACACCATTGCCTGGGTGACAGAGTGAGATCCTGTCACAAAAGCATGTATATTAGTGGGTAGACCAGTGGTATATCCATATAATTGAATATTACTCAGACAGGCTATGGAATGAAGCACTGATAACAAGCTACAATGTGGACGAATCTGAAAAACATGCTGAGTGAAAGAAGTCAGGAACCAAGGGTCATATGTTATATAATTCCATGTATGTATGTGTGTATGTATGTATGTATTTATTTATTTAGAGATGGCGTCTTGCTCTGTCGCCCAGGCTGGAGTGCAGTGGCATGGTCTTGGCTCACCACAATCTCCGTCTCCTGGGTTCAAGTGATTCTCCTGCCTCAGCCTCCTGGGTAGCTGGGATTACAGGTGCCCGCCACCATGCCTGGCTAATTTTTGTACTTTTAGTGGAGACAGGGTTTCACCATGTTGGCCAGCTAGGCTGGTCTCGAACTCCTGACCTCAAGTGATCTGCCCGCCTCAGCCTCCCAGAGTGCTGGGATTACTGGCGTGAGCCACCATTCCTGGCTTTTTTTTGAGACAGAGTCTTGCTCTGTTGCCCAGGCTGGAGTGTAGTGGTATAATTTCTGCCTACTGCCATCTCCACCTCCCAGGTTCAAGTGATTCTCCTGCCTTAGCCTCCCAAGTAGCTGGGACTACAGGCACGCACCACCATGTCTGGCTAATTTTTATATTTTTAGTAGAGATGGGGTTTCGCCATGTAGGCCAGGCTGGTCTCGAACTCCTGACCTCAAGCGGTCTACCCGCCTTGGTCTCCAAAAGTGCTGGGATTACAGGCAAGAGCCACTGCGCCTGGCCATGGCTGTGCCTTTTTTCAATAGAAGGAGGAATCAACACGGAAAAGAGATCAAATCTTTATTGATCACAATGGTCAGGACTGGAAAGGATAGAATTATATTTTGAGAGGCAGCTGATGAATGTGTGACTTCTGTCTCTTCAAGAACACCAAGAGGTTTCTAAGTACTGTGGAGGAAAAACAGGCGTTAGAATGGTGTCATAGTTTTTCACCCTGCAAGGATCCATGTCACAGTCTCTTACCCTGATAGACAACTGTTTTTCCTGCCTGATGGGAGGTCTGGTCTACCCTCCAAAACTAAATGGTGTGGGTAAATGGGTCAGGAGAAGGGCGGAGGAACATGAAAGATTAGTGGCCTCAGAAGGGTGTAAGTATTTCTCTTTGCCTTTCAAATTAAATATATGATTATAGATTATTTTAATGACCACATTGCTATCTATTATTGGAAAAAAAATATAGCAAATTGATTATTTTCAGCGTTAAGAAAGTTGTTAAAAATGGACAGTCTTGGCCGGGCCTGGTAGCTCACGCCTGTCATCCCAGCACCTTGAGAGGCTGAGGCGGGTGGATCATCTGAGGTCAGGAGTTTGAGACCAGCCTGGCCAACATGGCAAAATCCTTTCTCTACTGAAATACAAAAAATTAGCTGGGCGTGGTGGCGGGTGCCTGTAATCCCAGCTACTTGGGAGGTCAAGGCAGGAGAATCGTTTGAACCCAGGAGGCGGAGGCTCAGTGAGCTGATTGAGCCACTGGACTCTGGCCTGGGCGACAGAGTGAGATTCTGTCTCAACAAAAAAAAAACAAAAAAAACAAAAAAGGACAGTCTCCCAGCTGGGCACAGTGGCTCATTCCTGTAATCCCAGTGCTTTGAGAGGCTGAGGCAGGAGGATTGTTTGAGCCCAGGAGTTCGAGGCTGCAGTGAGCTGTGATTATGCCACTGCACTCCAGCCTGGGTGACAGAGGGAGACAGTCTCTAAAACCAAATGTTAAAAAAAGAAAAAAAAAGGCAGTCTCCTAAAGCTGATGGAGGATAATTTGGAATAACTTAAAATTTAACACACACACACACACACACACGTACAATTAACATGTACATATCTTTTGACTCAATAATTACTCAACTATTCCAATGGGAGTAAAACAAAAGAAACCACCAACGCAAACACATCCTCAAAGATGAATATAGAAGGTATTCCCTTGGTCCTGGTAGGGTCGAAATATTTGACAATCAAATCATGCTCTAATATGGGAATGGTATATCCATATTATGAAATGTAACAAGGTAATGAAAATAAGGTATATTTCTACATTCACATAGAAAATCCCCATGAAGCATGTTAAATGAAGATCAAGTCTCACACCAAAGTGGATGGTATTATTCATTGATGTTTTAAGAGGCCTTAAAATGCTTATCTATATGTAAATGCATACAATAAACCTGGAAGAACACACCCTAAATTGTTGTGTGTGTGTTTTTTTTTTTTTGTTTTTTTGTTTTTTTGTTTTTTTGCTGTGGAAGGGAATAGGAAGAGACACTGGAATGTGAGAGGGAATACTACTAACATTTTGCTCCCTATATTTATATGGTGTTGCATTGAGATGCTATTCTCACGGAGGAGCATGTGCTAGCTCGTACGAGGTTTCAGGGACTTGAAAAGTCCCGAGGAAGGCTGGGCACAGTGGCTCACACCCGTAATCCCAACATTTGGGAGGCCGAGGCGGGTGGATCACCTGAGGTCGGGAGTTTGAGACCAGCCTGACCAACATGGTGAAACCCTGTCTCTACTAAAAATGCAAAGTTACAAAATTAGCTGGGCGTGGTGGCAGGTGCCTGTAGTCCCAGCTACTCAGGAGACTGAGGCAGGAGAATCGCTTGAACCCGGGAGGCGGAGGTTGCAGTGAGCTGAGATCGTGCCTCTACTCTCTGGCCTGGGCCACAAGACTGAAACTCTGTCTCAATAAATAAATAAATAAATAAATAAATAAATAAATAAATAAATAAAAATTAAAAAGAAAAAAAAGAAAAAAAGAAAAGTTCTGAGGAAACAGTAGCTGTATGAACAGTGGGACTGGAGGGCGCTGGCCAAGCACCACTGATACTCTAAGGTAATGAAAAACTGCAGGTAAGCAACAGTCAATGGAAAGTCAGGTGTGGAAACCTGAGCAGCTGCCTGGCGTCTTACCAAGAAAGTCAATGTGGCCAGGTGCGGTGGCTCACGCCTGTAATCCCAGCACTTTGGGAGGCCGAGACGGGCGGATCACGAGGTCAGGAGATCGAGACCATCCTGGCTAACCCAGTGAAACCCCATCTCTACTAAAAAATACAAAAAACTAGCTGGGTGAGGTGGCAGGCCCCTGTAGTCCCAGCTACTCGGGAGGCTGAGGCAGGAGAATGGCGTGAACCCGGGAGGCAGAGCTTGCAGTGAGCTGAGATCCGGCCACTGCACTTCAGCCTGGGCGACAGAGCGAGACTCCGTCTCAAAAAAAAAAAAAAAAAAGAAAGTGAATGAAGCTGCAGACCAGCATAGGAATGATTAACTTCTGGACGCTTTGCGCATATCAAACAACACAGTGGCTACGCCCAAGTCCCTAATAGTGCTGTGATGTTTCTGGAGTCCCCAACAGAAAGGTGAACACAGTCACTTTCCAGCCTCACAGTGCAAACAGGGAAAAGCAGTCACTCAGCTTGATTCGAATGAAATGCCCCACAGGATTCAGGAGGAAAGGATGGGAAGCAGGTGAGGGATAATACTGCTCGGGTGACGAGTACACCAAAACTCACAAATCCCCACTAAAGAATTTACTCATATAACCAAATACCACCTGTTCCCCAATAACCTATGGAAATAAAAAATTTCAAACATGAGACCAGGCGTGTTGGCTCGTGCCTGTAATCCCAGCACTTTGGGAGGCTGAGGCAGGTGGATCACCCGAGGTCAGGAGTTCAAGACCAGCCTGGCCAACACGGTAAAACCCCATCTCTACTAAAAATACAAAATTACCCGGGCGTGGTGGTGCACACCTGTAATCCCACTAACTCAGGAGGCTGAAGCAGGGGAATTGCTTGAACCTGGGAGGGGGAGGTTGCAGTGAGCCGAGATCGTGCCATTGCACCGCAGCTGGGGCAATAAGAGTGAAACTCGTCTCAAAACAAAAAAAATAAGGCCGGGCACGGTGGCTCAAGCCTGTAATCCCAGCACTTTGGGAGGCCGAGACGGGCGGATCACGAGGTCACAAGATCAAGACCAGAATGGTATATCCATATTATGAAATGTAACAAGGTAATGAAAATAAGGGCGCCTGGCCATGGCTGTGCCTTTTTTCAATAAAAGGAGGAATCAACACGGAAAAGAGATCAAATCTTTATTGATCACAATGGTCAGGACTGGAACTGGGCCACAGAGCGAGACTCCGTCTCAAAAAATAAATAAATAAAAAAATAAAAAAAAATTAAAAAACCCCGGAAACCGAAATGCCCCACAGGAATCTTTGTCTCTGTGCCACCGATGTTATCAATAATGACTTCAAAGATGTTTCTGAATAAATGGCTCTGAGTTCTGACAAGCGCATCTTGCTGTTGGGAAGGATGAATACTGACTTTAACCACCCCTGACCCTGGGTTCTGTCTGAGGCTTCATCTCTTAGAGGCCAATGGGCTAAGGCATCCGGGCTTGCCACGTCCATTCCCATATACATAAAATGGCAGTTTTGATGGGGAGAGAGGTAATGAGTGAGACGCTTATAATAGAGTTTACAGTAGGGATTCATTTAATGGTGCCTATTTGTGAGTGGTCTTTGAATAACATCTCATTAAGGTGACGGGATTTGACACCTGGGTTTGGGCAGAACCCAACACTCCCAAGCCTGTTTCCTCATTAGCATATGGGCGTGATGATTCCTATAGTCCCTTCCTGAGGTCATAGTGAAGGTTAAATGAGGTGCTGGGCAGGCATTACTCAGCATGGTGGCCAGAGCTTATTGTGATCAATCAAATCCTCACTAAATAACACAGAGCATAGGGATGCGTGGACTCTCCCATGTCTCCTGACTCTGCTTTTCTCTTTCTCTTGTGTTTTTCTTCTCTTTTCTTTCTTTTTTTTTTTTTTTT